CAGTGAGCTTGTAGATGAAGAACTGCAGGGCACAGGCGGCACACCTCCAACTTCTTAACAAGGTAAATATTCACAGACTTGCGCCTTGTGCCGCTGCCTCCAGAATTCTGGGTTAACCTGTAGTTATAAAACGCATTTGCTGTTACCACCAGTAACTACATGTTGCCAAATCAATCTTAATGATTGCCACTTTAAAGGTTACATATTATGTAATTTCTTAGTTTCCTTCATATGTATAATGTTACAATGTCAGATTTTGATATTAAACAAAGCCAAAGTGTCAAATAATGAGGTAAACTTATGTCAAAGCAACGTTTCCAATGTCTTTTTCCAGATGACATCATCTCCAGGCAGAGCACGGCTGAGTATGGCCTCGAAGTATAGAGAATCACTCAGTCTGTTTAAGTTATCTGACTGCTTTACTAAGGAGTCAGGACTAACATTTCAATTTTTTGTATGCAGAAAGTGCTTTTCCCTTGTGAGGGAAAGTTACAGAAAGATAAATAAGGATGTTTTTGAAGAGTGAATCATGCAAAGCTACTGTAGCTGAGTCTCAGTCTAAGAATATGGAGCTGAAAATGAGCATAATCTGTTGACTTTAAAGAGAGGTGCGAGGAGTCTAAATATTCTTCTCTAACTGTGGTTCTTACATAAGCAGTGCCTTCATATAAAAAATAGATTTTTATAAAAGAAAAGAGCGACAGATATCCCAAGCCATGGTCTTCCTACTCCACATCAATAATTCACACATCTGTGGTGCTAGCATGGCATCAACCAATCTGTCTTCTTTACACATTTATTGCCTGCAAATTGACTTGTGGCAGCTTTGTGATTATTACATGGACGGAGAGAGACGTTCAGAACATCTGGAGTGGTTACTCACGGCTTTAGTCCCAGCATCTGAAACAGTGACGAGCAAATAAAACGTAGCACAGGAAGACAGTTGGTTGTCTGTGTACTTTCCACGTTTGACTAAAGTTTGTGCAAACTGTCAAATCCCATCTTGCAACATGATGGCGTTCAAACTCTGAGGTGTCACTCAATTCAATAAGGAGTGAGAGCAAACAGCTCTCTCTGGAGGGGGAGAGCTTTTCTAAACTACAGAGGAAGGTCAGACACCTTTGATTTCATCTTTGAAAAAGAAACAGGCAGGTTTTTGTTATTGTTTTATCTGTATGTCGTTAGTAATCGTTCTACAACGAGGTGGCTTCATTAATTAATCAAACACCGGCTTTTTATCTCAGGCGGAGGTTTTCCATGGTTGTTTCCTTCTCATTCATCCCTCCGACTCAGCCAGCTAGATGTGATATTTATGCCTTTGAGTCACACTGTGCAGTGAGAATTTCAGCCAATAACGGCACCCACCTGCAGTGAAGATGAATATGTAAATTTGAAAAGTGGGTCAGAGATCAAATTTCATCAGGTAAAAATCACTGCTGAGATATCCTATCGCCGAGCAAGGCTTTTCAGCCAATCTGATTCCATCCTGACCTTCTGGATAACTGCCATCATTCTGGTTTATCTCATAAAAATATTCAATCAGTTATTTATCACCAAAAGTATTAAGAGACGCAGGCAGGCCGGTGATCTAATTAATACTATCTGATCAAGGTATCTTTTGAGCCTCAGACAATTTCAAGCAGATGTTATACTGGACTTAACACTTGGAAATAGCGGCAAAATGACAACGCTTCAAACCCTCTGCCTCTAACTCATCATATCATAGAAAGCCAAATGGCAGGCTTAGTGTTATGGAAGGCCTGCTGTTATTATGTTAGAGCTTAATTTTGTTTTCATTACTTTGGTTTGCTTATTTTAATTAGTGGCCTTAATCTGCAATTAGCACAGAGGTCAACTATACCCTTAGCTTTAAAAAAAAAAAGAAAGAATTGTTTTGAAAGAAGGGAGAAATTGTTTGGACATGTATTTAATTAGACTGTTAACCCACTAAATGTCAGTGTCACTCACGCCTATGCTGTCTTATTAGAACGATAAAAGAGACATAGTGCCATGTCATGACTGATTGAGCACATGACTTTATTTAATTCAACTGCTACTAGAAGGATACTTTGAGAGGATCAATGCTGATACTTTGATGGGGTCAATGCACACCATGATTGCCTTTTACATAATTTAACAACATCCAATGAAACCTGGATATTTGTATTAAATAAGACAATAATAATTCTATTTTCTGTCATCATATTGTGTGGAAATTTTAAACTTTTTAAAATAACACATTTCAAGACAGCTGGATAATCTCCCAGAAGAACTTTTGCAAGGTAGTAAAACATGTACATGTATGAAAGTTCATATACTACTGTGTAATTATCCTCTCGTTTTAGTTTCAGTGTCAGCTAACGTCTCTATCTTGATTCAGAATTTGGCATACTGAGGCCTCATTAATACCCCACGCTCCTGGGCACTCGGTGAACATAGCTTGATGTGTGACAGTAGAGCATGAATGATATAGCACATTGGGATATGGTCCAAATGTTTCTCTTTTTCCTTCACAGAGGGAAAACTGCACCAGGGTGGAGAAGAGGCAGTGAAGAGTGGCCACCAGCTGGCTCAGGTTCTGCCTGCTGTGGCCATATCAACCGCTCCAAAGGACAACTTTAATTCATTTATTCTACCCGCTTATCTTGGTAAATGAGCACATCTGACACAAGTCTTCATGTAGGTAGGATGAGTCATCTGTCATGGGAAATACATGCATAAGAAAACATTTTTACAAAATGTTTTGAGAGCTGAAATGCTAACTATTTCAAGCTGTGTGACACAAGGTACTGAAGTTCAGATTTTTTTAAACAGCTAGCTCTTGCTGCCATTTCAAGGTGTCGACAAGCAAAGTGGCTTTGTGTTGCTTTAATGTCAGCGACAAGTTTTGTTTATGCAGGTCTCATAGTTACGCAGCACTTTGAATGCTAAACAGCCGCAATAAAACACGGGACCTTTCATGTGTAAGGTGCTTATGGGGCCAGAAAAGTCTGACTCTATAGAGCTACATGTTGGCCATAACTCAAACAGGGTGTCAGACATTATGAAATATTTATGAATTTAGTGGGAGGGAGCTCTGAGATTTACACTTTGTGGAGACACAGGCTGCCCCATCACCTCGGCTAAACTAATTACTGCAGACAAATTTTGAATAAAGAGTTGTCAGTGAGACATGGGAAATGTGTCACAGCACTGCTACAAGAGAGATTTCATGTCCACTGGAATTACCTTTCAACACTGTCTGATATAACATCATCAGCATCTTTAATGATAATGATTTCAGATACATTTAACAACTACATACACTACTGTTATATTTAAAAAAAAAAAAAAAAGGTTATTGATGTTTCAATATGTTTGTTTTACTTGGTTCCTAATAAGAAACACTTTGGAGATAATGGCTTTCAGTGGACATTGACTCTTACAGTCTTATGTCAGTGTATGCACTCAGGATCCTGCTGCTGCTTTTAATAAAAGTATCCAACAAATCGCCTATATTTTATATATAATATTTTTTGCATTTTTAAGAAAGGCCTTTTCGGTGTTTCAATTCATCTGGGTGCGATACAAAACCTCAATTTTTCAGTCCAGAAGGCAGAAGTAATGCGTGAGTGTATAGCCTATACACTAACCTCCTTTGTATTGGAAATGATTTTCTATGTCTGGAGAGAAGCAATTTAATCTCTGCCATACCTAAAGGATTATGTAAAATATAAAATTAAGCAGAAATCATAAATAGTTTTTAGAAACCCTTTTTATAAACAATTAAAAATTATTAAAGGAGTCTACAAATGATATCTGTGCAATTCTCCTCTGTGGTAGATGTCAATAATAAAGAATGAGTAACTAGTCAATGACAGGAACAGCTCTGTAGCACTGTCAGCTTCAGATAACTCTGCCTTAACACCTGACGGAGTACAGCATACTCCCACCCAAAGTATCGCTTCGGTGCTCAAGTTGTGGTGACTTTGTCTGACAGCAAAGGAAAGTCCTGCTAATCAATTCGCTCTGTTTTGACACTAAACCCACATACTCCTCCTGTCTCACTTTAAAATTCAGCTTCTGACAATGACATGCCTTATCAATCATTGTGAATATCTCCTTTGTTCTGTAACATAAAGACAGTGCCAGTTGAACCTATGACTCAGTAGGGCTATAAATAACTGGCCTCTAAAACTCCACTCAGACCCAGCTCATTAGAGCCAGGCATTACACCAACATAATGGCCACAAGACTCTGTTTTATAATGAAGCCAGAATGAAATCTTTCTTAACACAGAGAGGTGGAAATACAGTACAAGCATTATTGGACACGAAATTATCAAATCTGTGAATAAAATAAAATAAATCTATTTCTTAAAACTTGGATTGGAAAACTTGCATGATTAGCTTTCAGGATATGACTCAGTAACTGGGCCAGGAGGAGCCTTTTTTCCTTTACTCTTCCTCACCGCCCCAGTCTCTGTGGCTGACTGCCTGATAAGCTTTGCCAAAAGTGAGATTTAGCACAGGGCATCTATGCAGAAACCTCCATGAATAACAGTGAAGTAAAGGAGCACTTTTAAAAAGAGAGGGAAAGGCAATAATTGTCAAGCACCCATTCCTGCTCATACTTACGCGTGGTGATTTCCATGTGACCATGACAGCTAAAGCCCAGTATCATTCATTAATGCCCCGGCTCCTCATTACTGTCTCCTCACACTTTTGAAAGACTCATTACCTGCATAATGGAATAGTGCTTAGAACAGTCAGACCTTTCCTTAGTCTGAATTAATCACCTACATGCGCAGACAAAAAGGGAATTCTCACATTAAATATTAAGAAACTTTAAGCTCTAGCTTTCTACTTTTTCAAACTTCTAGAAGATGTACTTTCTTGAGGTGCACCGTCAGGGACATGACACTGCTATCATTGAAGATCGCCCCTGTGTCTTTCATGTGTCTGCAAGGACAATATGGATAAAAAAGCGGGAAGCATGGAGGAAGAAAGAGATATACTTACAGTTGACCGTGACTTTTACTGTTTTGGTGTCAGGAGAGGCGATGTCATTTAAAGCGCTGCATTCATAGTCTCCAGCTTGGTCCCTTGTGATGCCGGTGATGTTAAGATATTCACCGCTGTCATACTTCCTGGCTGGAAATAGAAAAATGGAGGCAAAGTACTTACACTGTGTCTACAAAGAATACAAACACAGCACACAAACACACACACAAAAACATTCAGTATATATAGCTCTAGGCTTTCTGTAGCCTATGGTTAGCATGCAGAAACCCCTCATTTGTAATAAATAGCATTCAGGTTTAGGCCAGAGAAGAAAAAAATGTGATTAGGTATTGTACTCAACTCCTGATTACTTTCCTTACATCATAAAATAGCTGCAGATTAGCAGTGCATTGATCTGTTCATATTGATATGGTGGAAGGAAATTAAATAATGGTGTATTCCCAGTCATACACTCATCATTTGCTCAACTCCACACCAAGCAGTTGGAGCTACTTCCCGGAAGACAGACAAATTCGATGGCTCAATGCACATGTCAGTGCTTTATAGTTAGCTAAAGGTGCCAAAGGCAATAGCAGCAGAGCACCATGACTGACATATTAGCAGGGGCAGAGTGCACCTAAAAAGCTACAGGTTATGTCGATTCAACAAAGACACATTAACATACTGTATATTACCATTGTAAGAGGTGACAGATGATTATTTTTGTAAATGTGTTGCTAGTAAGAATTAAAAGTATGATAACTAGAAAGAAACAATAATGAGATACAGTATGGCGTCAAGTATAATTAAGTAAGAATAATTAGGACAAAATACACAAAATATACAATTTTATCCAGAACAAATCCACACATTATATTAGTTAACATTAGAGCTGCAATGAACAGTCTGCATAGTCTGAGTGATTGCTTGATTAACCAATCGACAGAAAATAAATCAGCAACTATCTTAATAATCAATTGATTGTTTTAGCTATTTTTCAAGTAAAAACAGAATTTTTTGCCAGCGTCTGAGACTGTGAGGATAGTAAACTGCAGATGTTTGAGTTTCAGGACATCATAAGAAACAAGTTACAGTATATGAATATATCACCTTGGGCTGTGGGAAACTATTATTATTACTATTTTACTGGCATTTTAAAGACTAAACATGAGAGCATTATGCCAGAACTGAAGCCAGGCAAGAGGGCAAAGTAACTGGGCTCAGCAGCTTCTACTGACATAGTTTATGGTAGAGGCAGAACACCACATATTAAAATCAGAAAAACGTAACAATATTTTTCCTCACAAACACGTTCTTTGCACGCCTCTCCTCAACTTTCAACCAGAACAGATTGACAAAGTTTACCCCTAGGTGTGCATCGCAGGGCAAGATGAGCTGCTTTGTTCTGAGTCAGCTGCAGTTTTCCTAGATCCTTCTTTGTGGCACCAGGCCATATCATTGGGCAATAGTCTAGATGTGATAAAACTTAAGTCTGCAGGGCTTGTTTTGTCAAAAGTGGTAGAGAAGCAAAACATCTCTTTATAACTTATATATTCCTCCCCATCTTTATGACAATAAAATCTATATACCATAACCACAGGCATTTACTATCTAAAATAATACCAATAAGTCTTATTTCCTCTACCTGCTCAACAGCTACTTTAATCAGCAGCAAATTCAGCTGGGGTCTAGAGCTCAAGGAGTGATCAGTACCAGATACAGTGCTCTTAGTCTTTGATATGTTTAGGACCAGTTTATTGCCAGGGACTAATTCTAGAACTGTTTGCAACTCTTTGTTAAAAGTTGCAGCGATTTAATTAACTGTGGGTGCATAAATGTAGATTGTTGTTTCATCTGCATACAAAGACACACAGGCTTTTTAAGAGAAAGTGGACGGTCATAAGGGCCAGGCAAGAGGATGGCAGAGAAAGCTAAGATGAGAAAAGGGAAAAGTGATCAAGCAAGAAGCCCTCGGACAAGAGTAAATCTTAGACTAGTGAAAGCATTGAGAAATAAAAGGCTATAAGACCGACGGCGAGCTGGCCTTCTTGGTGTTGGACTAGTAAGTAATATTAGCTGGCTTGCTATGTCTTGTGTTGTTAAACTTTCCTCTGCTCCGAAGAACTTCTATTCTCCACCTTTCCACCAGAAGTCTTGGCCCTCTAGCCTCCAAACTTGTATTCTATTTCATCTGTCTTACCTTTTTAGACCTGTTACCGGCCTGTTTTGGACCTTGCTTTCCATTTTTTAACTGTGGATGTTCTGCCAGCACCCTTGGAATTGTTTGCCTGTGTTGGACTGCTTTTCTGGTTTAGAGCCTTGCCTGCCTCACCATCCCATAAGCCTTTGTACCTCAATATTGGATTAATTAAAAAATTTACTACATAAAGCTCTGCCTCAGTTGTCTGCATCTGGGTCCTTCCCTGTATTCCTGTTACACTGCTTGCACCAACCGTGACAACTTAGTTTGGATAGATGAATGGATAGATATGAAATTGGGAATACTAACAATGAAACCAATTTGACCAGGCGCACTTGTATAATAAATGGTTATAGGATCGCAGCAGGCAGCACTGTGTATGTGTATTTGAATGACTGTGGCAGATTCTCCCCTGACCAGAATTAATTTCCAGCCCAGTTGTGCTCAGTGTGAAATCTATTTATATACAACTTTTCATGGTGGTAACGGTGGTTTGGAATGGAAGATGTGTGGGCGCGTTTGGAAGTCATGGGGATCAAACAGAGTGCACAATCAAGCAAAACTGAGTTTAACATGATGTTCAGAAAACCACAGACCCGACACTGACTCAGCAATTTCCCATAAAAGACAAGGCAGTATGAAGACAATCCATGCTTCAGGAGTGGAAATATTGCTATTCTGTGCTGCCATTCTCTCCCTTGCAAGTGAGCTGAATACTTATATAATACCACTTCCTTATTCTGCAACCCTGGTGGCTTTTTATCTGCTAGCTATGTCAAAAACTTGAAACTGAAGGCATTGTCGATAATGAGCCTTCCTGTCTCTTCTCACAGTGTTGTGGTGGCAACAATGGAGTCTTGGCAAAGATACTGGTAGCTACACAAACAGCAAAGGGAAGAAAAAATGTTTGAAAACCTGATCCATAAACAAGCACCGGATGTGTCTGAAAAACAGAACCGTTAATATGCCAAGAGAGCACAGGGACGGAGACATAACCCAAAGTGCTCTATTCTTGCGGCAGTGCACAGCTCACGACTGGGTTTTGCATTGTTTGAACTCAAAGGTCCAGTGTGTAAGATTTAGTAGGATCTATTGTCAGAAATGGATTATAATACCCATAAGTATGTTTTCATTATTAAACAGACCTATGGTTTTTGTGAACAGTATACTAAGAAATATGACTGGTATATTTTTTCTCAAGCAGGAAACAAGTAAGAGAGCACTTGATTGAGAGATAGAACATGTATTGCACAGCAGCAGCCACAGTGTCAGTGATCTCTGAAAGGGAATAGAAATCAGCTATCAAGTACAACTAAGGGACAGTATTTCAGCACAACATTTAATCCAGAATAAATGAATACACTGAAATTTAATTTCACTTAAACAGTTTGACTCATGCATGAATTGTTCTTGCTGTAGCATCAGTGCAAGTCACTGCCTGTGCAGTAGCCCTGCTGAGACCTATAGCCTGAGTAATATACCTAGAATTAAAGTTATGACAGATGCAGAGGGATTGGATATTATCTGTTTCAGTGAACAACTAGGTCTCCTGCTATGCTAGGCTACAGCCACAGCCAGACACACAGACAAAAACTATGCAAAATAAAAGTGAAATGAGAGTTTTGAAAGAGGAATGGACAGAGAAGCATGTGTTTATCTTACCGACCAGCTGTCTTTCTTACAACAATACAGCTTGGAAAATAATATTGTTAGAGAATAATGTAATCTCACTGTCATTTGTGGAAGAAAGGAAATCTCTTTCGGTTAAGTAATACTGTGGAATAAATGTGTGTTTGAAATAGAGTTTTATTTATCATCTGTTATTTAACTGTTGATCAGACTCAGTTTGTAAAAAAAAAAAGAAGCGCAGTCCATATTATTTCTTCTTAACAAGCCTTGAGAATGGCACAGAGCGAGGCACAGCATTGGTTTTCTTTCAACATGGCACTAATAATTAATGTCATTTTCATTGACATTTAAATTGGCCTTACATTTACATCTTGACAGAAGACATCTGAAACATACTTGATGCAGTGTGATAAAGTCAAATTAGAGTAAAGTTCAGATTACATCGGAGCAGGGAAAATCATTTTGTTTCGCTTTTTGTTTCATTTATCTCTTTAATGAATGAACACAAGCATTATTTAGTAATGACTGAAACCAGCCATACTGCACATACTGAATTCCCCAAATATCCAACTGCGTCATACTGTAGCTGTGCTTTGCACCCGTAGCCACAAAATTACTAAAATGAATTCCCCATGCTATGTGTGTCTGTACCACGTGTCGCTGACTTTCATAATGCACCACCGATTCAGCTACTGTACAAGTGAACATGTGTCACTCATATCCAGTGTACATGTAATAGTCTATATATTGCAATCACAGCTTCTATGGATTTTTGTGAACCATTAGTGGCTCCACTTTGTCTAGCTTGTTAAACTGCACACAATGATCAATGCTACACATTATAGCACCTACACAGCAAGGTTTTGTCTGTGGCATTGTGACATCTGCTCTAGAAAGGTGGTATATAAATAAACTGTATTTGAATACTTATGAAGTATAAAAGAACTACAGACTTTCACAGGACCCCCCCACCACACACACACGGTTGACCTTTACACTGCCCTTAATGCACAACTCCATTGTATTTCACTGTAATGGAGAATTATGATACGCAGGACGTGGAAATCCACTGTGTGCACTTGTGCCTGTTACTGGGGCAATGAATTCAGAAGCACTGACCCATGAGGCCAAGTATGCTTGATGCTTCCAATACCATTTACCAAATGGCTGAATCAAATGCAGTTATTTCCACCAGAAAGCACACAAACTTTTTTGCCACATCCTGGGGGAAGTTGGTTGCATAGGGCCCGTTAAAGGGATCAATGTCCAAAAAACAAATGTTAAATAAAAATGAAGCTTATATCAAATACATGAGTCATGT